CATCTGTCTCTCAGTCAATTCATGCGGCACCCATTTTCCTTCCTTTTGAACTTTTCCCATGGCACGTAAATGTATGGAAATGCTTTGTTGAGACGTGTTTAACACCTCTGCAAGTTGTTCTTGAGTTTGCGTGTCATCTTCATCCAACAACGCTTGCAGATCGGCGTCCTCGATTGTTTTCGGTCTTCCGGAGCGCTCTTTGTCCGCAGTGTCGAAATCGCCACTTCTAAAGCGTTTAAACCAATCTTCACAGGTTGTTTTCGATGGTGCATGTTCGCCGTAAGCCTCCTCAAGCAAACGACGTGCTTCAGCTGCATTTTTGCCCAAGTGAAAGCAGAAAAGCAAAACTTCCCGCGAATGCTGTTTTTTTGGCACAAAACCCAACATTTTCACTGTTGCATAAAAATTTTTTTTCGTCGCGAAACTGGAAATATTTTGATTGATTATTGTCGTCAGATGTCGCAGCTACAAAAAATAAACAACTTCAGACATTACATGTGTCGTTGGCGCCATCCATGTGTGAAACCCGGAAACTTATTTGTACACCTAGTAACTATTTTATATTGTACTTTCAGAGATCATCCCGTTTAACCACGTTCCAATACAGCTATTCACAGCTACTCAATGAAATGAAATACATCATTTTCTTTAATAACTAAACAAAATCTTTTTTCCTCCCGCTGATCAAAAAATACTGCGATGCAAATACATGAACATCTCATTTAATAGTGCTTGCTTTCGAACTGACAAACGTGTATTACTTAATATAAACATTGTGCTTAATTAAAAGTAAATCAAATAAATAATTTCTTTATTGATTAATAAAATCTTTGGTTTCGCCTCTAGCAAATCAAAACAAAACTTAAGGAACTAAAGCACTTAAGGAACGTAAGGACCGCTAACGATCAATGTTTGCACGCTGAGCGACGTTACGCTCGTACGTCTCGATTCTTCATCCGTACGCATAACGATGACCGAAACGACGCTATATCGTATGTTCGAGTTTGACGGGTGCATCGATGTAACGTTCGAACGATTAGCCAGACTCATCGATACGGTCGATATCAAGTATACGCGATTTTCTCCGAGAAAAGCGAGATTCTCCGATATCTCGTCCGAGAACGCTATACGCGATAGCGACATCTTCAACGGGCATCAACTCGTCGATTGCGAGCTATTAGCTTTAGTTTTTAATACGTATGAAAAAAAATGATGTAATAAGATGTGAATAAAAATAAATTCGTTCGCATTACTATGTACTTTCTTTACTTCCCATCCGTCATATCCTATGCCTCGACGCGTTATCGCATTCCGTTTAGATAAACAGCATCAATCTGCGCTTCTCTTATCGTGTCGCGAAT